GTTTGTGCTCGCCATAAATGAACGTAAGGATATGTGAGTCGAGAGAACTGAGTGGGCGAGTCCAAAGTGTGTGCCCAGAAAAGAATCAACAAATTGGTTCTGCTCCCAGACATGAACTCAGTGACTGTGAGAATACGCCGCATAGACCGTGCAGATCACTACTAGACTCAAGGCAAGCTCATTGCTTTTAATATTGTGTTAGAATTCAATTATGGCGCTCTGCTAGCAGTCCGATGCTGTGGAACCAAAAGGTGGAACGCCGAGCTTGCGGACATTCCGTTGCTATAGGGTAAGCTAATTGGCCTCGGTCGAATCTTGGTCCAGACGAGCTGTTTGACTAGCAAGACGAAGATCGCGGTGCACACGGCGGTCCAGCCACCAAAATAGCAGATAAGCAACCGACAATACCCCTCATACCCGACCACGGATTCCCATAACGGCCATTTTGAGATGCATGGATGTGTGTAATTCCAACCTAAGCTTTATCCTGAACCCACCAATCGCTCTTTTACTCAATTTCAGGTTGACAACGGAAGTTCGTGCAAGATCAATTTTGAACAAATTTACTCGCTGATTCATGTTCTGACATGAAGACCGTGCCCCAATCGACACAACCAGTACTCTCTTTCACTGGATTAAACCATATTCTTATCACCAAACTCATCTTTGAGTGACCACATTATGCATACCTACTCAACGTTGACTCCACCACACAGACCTTTCTAGCCTTGCTCCAGATCCTCAGCTCACCATGCTTTTTTGGAAAGTCAGTTCCCAAGATAAGATATCCACAGAAGAAGACGCATGTATTGTGGAAATCCAGGCAGAACCGATCTGCTTGTGGCTTGGGCTTGTAAAATCAAATAAGCGGGCCAATGTTGAGTCCCTCCCAGCGGCACGAACCTCATGGTGCAATATCTGAAGTTTGTGTTAGCTTTGTTGCCAAGCGCTGATTATGGGATCAAAACTGAGAAATTTGCCTTCTACCAGTTCAATTCATCCCACGTCCCGATGTCCACCGAGAGACATCACTGAACCAACGACTGATCAAGACCTTTACCAAACATCCAGCATCTCTTAGAGTAAATATAATTTTCCAATGTCCCCAAAACCCACCGACTATTAGCATCGACCATTGTTCCCCTCCCCGTGAGAAGCTTGGTTATAGCTTCGCTGCTCTTATCCCAGACAACAAAGCCCGCGTAGATATCCTGTAACCCTCTATCGTTCTTGGCAGTCTGTGGAGTTTGTTGTAAGAGGTCACAGCTGTCATCATCACTCAGCCTTGATATCAATAGAGTCTTTCCTCGTTTCACTTTTGTCATCGTGTTCACTACAGATAACCTTCGTTTCGTCCGAAACGTGTTTGGAAAGGTCAAGGAATTCAGATATAATTCCTCAGCCCTCTTTCGCTGAGAAAGGTTTCATCCATACGAGAGCAATGCGGGAATGCCGAAGGATATATCTGAAGCAGGGCTATACGCAGCGGCCCAGCTCTTTTGTCAGCGTGCGATGTAGATGATTATTTCTTCGTTGTTGTGGGACTTCTTAAGACCCTGGGCATCCCCTTCCTTCTACAAGCCGATGTGAGCATGTATTTCTGCAGAAGGTTTGGTCATTCTATTGTAATAGTTGATTTCTTGGTTTACCTCCTGCTGATAGCTACTTACTGTGGTCTGAGAAGATGACAAATTAGACGCTAGATTCTGAATGTTTGTGATCTCGAAGTGCTCTAGCCTCGGTAGCCCTGGAGGGTGAGGATGAGAATTCTCACATATGTTGAGAAAACGTTTTATCCAAACAACCGTAATGACGTCACAGAAACATTTGGTTCCAAAGAATGCGATAAGCTAGATTACGACGAGCGGAGTGAAGACAGGACAGAGAATGCCAAGGAGAAGGAAGAGGCGAACGCAAAACCAGATAAAAAATAAGTACCAGACGCTGAGGGAGTCAGAAAACGCCTTGACTAAACTCGAGAATGGGTTAGAGTGTTTGTAGGTTAAATAAATGGTGGAGGCCTTGGAGGTGACACTGTCGGTGGATATGATTTAGGCGTTTCCAGCTCGTAGAATGACCGGGTATGGATTAGACTGACGACTGGGTGAGGTTGGGTGCTGGCAGTAACATTGAATATGGGTTTTTGTCCGTTTGAGGAACGTAAAGACCATACTTTTGAAGTTTGCGGATGCACAGAGTCATCATAACAAAAACACGCTCATTTGAAACACCTTATTCACGTGTTAATGGTTGTGTGCGGTTGCCCTTGGGGTCTTTCTGTCCTGATAAGATTCCATTGCTGTAGTGTGAAACCGAGAGCAAGCCTTTGAGCATCAGAGACTCACCATCATGACTATTTTCTGCGCCCGAAATATTGACTCTTCGATATCTTTAAAGTCGATCCACCCTCTCCTATCGACTCTCATTATATCATCCTGCTCCAACTCATCTTCCTATACCTCAACATTACTTTTCATTTCCGTGCACCGAACTGGACACTCACACTACCTCGACGCGCCAAGAAGTCGGCATCGATTTCTTATACAAGTCTCTGCACACCTCACCCTCATCTTGCTCTTCCATCATCGGCCGCCAATACGGTCTACGACGCGAAAGCAAACATCCTTCTACGAGTCTGCCAACTCCAGTGCCTACCTACACGCAGAGCGTATTTCGAATCGCTTTGAACACGGCATCCACAACACCGCGGAAGCCGTTGACCTGGCCAGAGATCCCAAACCAAGCTTGATAACGTAAACTACCAAACGCTTAACGGAAATGGGTACAAGATTAGAAGACGGAGGGATGATCTTCAAGCCAAACAAGCCGGAAGTCTCTAGCCTTGGGGGAAAAGCTACTGTAATGTCCGGCCGCCAAGTAACAAACGGTTTTCGGCACGGCGCTAAACACCGCCGCCGAGGACAACGAGCAACGGTTAACCACTTAGAGAACCGAAACCAAAAGATAAGTCCTGGCTTTTGAGCCAACAAACACGCCGTAAAATAGATGAAGCACATCCCATACGCTGATCTGCAAAGCGCGCAGTCAAGGCAAATAGGTGTCCTTCGGTTGTGTACCACCGGGTGTGGTACGTGACCCATCCCTACAAACAGCACACCACTGCAGTACCGTTCTCTTATCTCCTCGTAAGTTCCCATAATGCTACAATTAGACAAACGGTAATGATATTGAGAGAAACAGGTTACCTCCAGCCCTCCCGCCTGCCCAAAAATAGGAAGGGTGAGGTGCGAAACAAAAGGCTCAAGTTGATGCTGAAGAAGGAGGCTCTTGCCAAGCATGGTTCCAAGTGACGATGGGTCCCTTCGAGCTCAAGCCACCAAACCTTTCCTTTGACATGTGTCTGGTAGGTGTCTGAGTTACTACTAAGGCTTATACGAACAAATTCGAATCTAAAGACAACGACTGGCCAACGAAACGATTTTCCCAGGGAATGTCAACAAAATTCGATGAGAGCTCGAACCTTCAAGCCTGGTAGCGGTTGCAATCACGTCGAGACCTTGCTTTATCAGAGCCAAATGAAATGAGAAAGCGGCACTGAGTCAAGAGAAGGTTGTCATGGTGAAATGGTGTAATGGCTCCGCCGTTGTGGTGGGCCATCTTTATATTTTGATGCCGTCCGACTCGAGAGCTATCGACATATGTATACTCTTAGACCGAAGGCAAATGGTGTTTAGTCCTCAGGGTTGGGCCCGACCAACGTTCAACGGATGACACAGAAGATACTTACATACAAGACACCAACCATGAGTGCCTCAAGTTCGCGATAACTCACATGGCTCTCCGCTTCTCATTAGTTAATTATCACATGATGAGGATTAACCTCCAGATCAGACCGTGAAGACACTCATGTGACTGACCGAAGGTCCCAACGCTTGTTACTCTCGAGTCCCAACGTCACACAATGGGAGCATCATCAGCATAGTAAAGTCTGGGCATCGGATCATTTGACCAACACAGTTGAGAAGTTCTAATTTCGATTTTAGTTCACTCTTTTTCGACTTGCATCTTCTTTACCTTCCATACGCTGTATTAGCTTCGGTTCACTGTCAATTGAGACCAAGTCTCTTACAGCGGGCTTACAAGTCCTGGAGTGCTTTCTCCGATGTACATGCCTTCGCCTCTGCTCTTCGAACTATATATCAGACTAGCATAAGGCGTGGAGTATCGGCAATACGGTGTTCTATCAAAGGCCCATACGCCATCATGCTGTCCATACTCTAGCGTACAATTCGGATGGGCAGTTAATGACAAGCTCCTGGTCGGCTATACGCCCACTCTGATGTCAACTCAATCATAACGATCTTTCCCTCCTCATCCAAGCATCGAGAATAATTTCCAAAAGCCAAGACATATCTAGAGGTCTTTTTTAACTATATAGGTTATTAGTCCTGTGTGATTGTATCCTTGATCTGGAGGAAAAGAACCACGCCGTCTCGAATATCTAAACCCGCAGATAAAACCAGTAGAAAGCAACAACAGATCAGAACTAGACTAGTAGTCCGGGTTCACGCAGAAACATCTTAAATAAACAATTCGAGTTCACATCATTACTTAATATAGTACTTTACGGTCATTTCTAACCATCCACTGGCATATTCCAGAAACATCTGCTCCATCTCCTGAACCATCTGTCGACTCAACCCTCTCCATTTTCTTACCCTTTCTTCAGCCTTTGTCAACGGACAAGTAGCCCTGACGAGGAAATCAATCTCGGCTGTCATTATCTTTTCCACAGCCATAGCAATAACTTTATCCAGCTCGGCTCCACGACATGATACATCTACTGTATCAGCTATGCGACTGAACTGGCTCAGGTAGGTGTCAGTTCCATTACCTTTACTTTGGTCGGTGGTAGGTGGGCGACCTTTTATCTGATGCTCGTATTGGCGCTTGAGCTCTTTGCTTTCTTTGCACGTTCGTTTGCCGATGCCGATTAGATTGGTCGTGATAATATGGTGGAGAGCTTTGAGCAGGGCGGTTCAAGACTTGTGTGCTTCTTGGAATGTTCCCAGCAGGACTTTGTGTTGTTGGGATAGCCTTTCTTTGCACGGGTCGATCCAGAATTGGTCCAGAAACCACCAAGACCCATGGTCCTCGCCCCAGCATGCATCACTGATAGGGTTCTCTTTGATCTCGTTGATTAGCCACCTGATATCATCTCGACCCTGACCAAGAGACTTTGCTAGCTGGGCTTCAAATTCGGCGTTGAAGTTTTGCAGCTTTCTGGCTTCCTTTGTCGGTAACTGCGCCTGGTTTGTGTCCTTTGCTTGCTCCCCCAGCTGTCTAAGATCGTTGGCCGCGACTTCTAGTGCGGGGCCCCAGCTATCGACATGGCGGATGACAGAGGGCAGAGACGACGGGATGGTCGATTCGGGGAAGTTGAACGTGTGGCTTCGGAACAAAGATGTTTGCCCATGTACTCAAGCCTGTGACGCTTCCGACAAACGAGTTTTTAATGTCGATTATGCTGCCTTTGATGCCCATGAAAGCGACGATGGCAAAGACGAAGATGGTCATGATGATCAAGAGATTCATGCAAAGGGATGAGGAGTCTGAAGGGCGAAGGGCACCGCTTAACATGCGAAGAAACGTTCTGTGTGCGGTGACATAAGTGCCTGACTCTTGTGGCTTTGGCTTATCTGGTGTGACGTCGGATGAAGCATCTTGTCCGCGAGTCTGCTCGGTCGGATGTGGTGAGAGAGGTATTTGGCGACTCGGTCGATAAGGCTGAGGAAGAGTAAACTCGTCGCATTCCTTAATATGCAACGGCAAGTTCACGTTGTGGAGAGGGTGTAGGTGATCGCGGTTTGACGCTCGTGAGGTTGTGCGGGATGCAGGAGCTGAGCTGCGTCTCTCCATCGCCTCATCGATACTGGCAGTCAGATCCGCAAGACTCGCGGCGTCTAACTCGTCGTCGGACATGATTCAAACAAGTAAAAATATTGGGATTGTTGATGAACATAACTGTGCACTTGTAACTCAAATGAGGGGGAACTTGAGATATGGGTTTTCTTTATTTGCATAGCAACGTCAGGCAAGCCACTTCGCATGGTGACTAATCGATTACACTTGAATTGTTTTCTCATCTCGAAGCAATCTTCCCGAGAGATCCTTGTCATTCATACCAATCTAGAGCCATTAAACACAACCTCTCTATCGGCATGTACCTTCGAGCTTTGTAGGCTGTCATGCCTCTGCCTGTAATCGGTATAGGAGATTTGGTCTCATATCTCATGGTGCCGCCTATCAATGTCAAACCGTGGATCGAAACTGGATATCCAGTCCAACAAGTCAGTCTACACATATTCATCCCAGCCCAAACTCTTTAAAGACTGAACTTACCATGAATCCATGAACACAACACAGACCGAAGTCTGGCGTACCCGCGTCTGTCTCTTTCATCACACCCTCTATACGCGAAACCCATACAGTCCTGCGCGACCTCTCCACGCCGTTCTCGGTCTCGACGCAAATGCTAGACAGTTCCACCCAGCGAAGCTTTCAGCATCTCCCGACCAGCCCTTCCACCAAGCCGTATACCACACCATCGCTGACGCGTTTGCCAAAGCAACGGGAAACAAGGTTCAGTTCATGGCGGCCAACTTGGTGCCGCTTGAGCTTGATGAACAGGATGTTGATAGGGTTTGGGTTTATACCATTATGAGTGTTGTTTCGCTTCTCAGCGACGATACTATTTGTGCTCATTATGCCTATGGGTTTGTCCCTGCGCTGACGGAAGGCTTTGGGGATATGATGAAGACGGACGAGGGGATTCGTAATGCGCGGCTTTCGGCTTTGAAGATATTGTGTAATTGACATGCCACGAGTGTCATTAAATCAAGCTCTTATCCTCCTCTCCAGTAACAAATTCACGCCCTTTACGTTCATTCCTTTATCGTCAAGCCACAAATAAATCTCATGGTATTCAAGCCACACGTTACAGAGGTAGGCGTCACCACCTTCTCACCTGGTGTCAGAGACCTGACCTCCTTTGTCTCTTTCCTTTCATCCACCATTATTTGCTGTCTTGTGCAGTCAAACAACAAAGGCTCGTATTCCAGGCCCTTAGTTTCTTTTATACTGTCCATCATTTACTCTTTGAAGGCAAATGCTAGCGGCAGCTGTTCTCAACAAATGGAAACCTTCACCGTCCCTCATGCATGTAACGGAGTAACATATGAAGCCATCCCCTTGCCTGACTTGACATCCGCCAACTTTATCTTACCATACCATAGGGGAAACTCCTGCATTTCATGTCCATCGACTTTCCCCTACTCCCACCGCCCAAGACCAAACCGGTGGTACGCAAATCCATCCAAGCGTCCTACATCCGTCTCACCAACAACAAACTTATCAAAACAACCAAAATGCCGGACAAGCCAAAGAAAGGAAACATCGACTACATCCGCCGAGGACGTGAGTTTGGCCGATACATGAAGGCTCATGTATCTCAAGACAACACTCGTGGTTTCACAAAATCAGACGTCAAGTGGATTAGGAAGTACTACCCTGAGACGGGGACGGAAGAAGGAGAGGAAGACTATCCTTCAAAATGGATAGACAACTCCCGTTCTTTGACTAGCATGCGGTCAGCTTGGCGAAAGGCCATGGAGAGCTTGGCTGAACCCGGGACCATGATCGATGAGCAAATGGCAACTCATTCTCTTGAGGAAGATGCTCTTCGTGAAGCTGCTGGTTGCATCAATAACCCCCATGATTCTGAAGACTTTAGGCAAACTCCAATTCCAGCTCAACCCCCTCAGACCTTCAACTCCCGAAGAGAGCATGGATTACCACCTGAGTCGACCGGCACGACCGAGATACCACATCCGCAGACAAGCAGCTCTCTTGCAGCTGCCTATAACAAGGTACCAGGGGTGCTTTCCGCGGTTTGGACTGTCCAGAGACCTCACGAGACTCCCAAATCCTTCCCCGAAGTGCATGTCATGGCACCCAAGCCTTTGCGAACAGAGATTTGGATTCGTTCCATGGTTAGCCAAGGGACCATAGAGAATGGGGGAGGTGTAGTCCAAGATGACCAATACGGATTCGGAAATGGACCTGGTCGACTAGAAACTACGCTTTTGGATTATCAGCGTTCGTCAGAGATTTGTGTTCCACCTCACATCAACGTGGATCCGATACCTCCACGTCACCAGCCATTGACTTTGAGCCAAACTCAACATGATACGTCAGGTTTTGAGTCAGATGATGAGCGTATTAGCAGAAACATCCACCACAATCGAGAAACCCATTACCTCCTGAATCAACACCAGGATATCCATCACTCACAGCAGCCTGCGAGTTCCAATCGAGCGCAAAGACCATACGATGGTGCAAACGCCATCATTGACGAGTATGAGTCATCCCCTGCCTACAAACATGACGCCTCTCTGTACCATGCCACAGATCTGGCAGAGGGGAGTTCGCAGCGACAAATGGGAAATAAGCCTGGGTATAGCATGCAGCAATTAGACCCCCCAAAGACATCCAACCAACACCTCTTCACTCGTCCCCCGCGTACCAAGGCCACGCTCGATACAATTCCCATACATGTGAAGGCTCCTAGAAGAGACGAGCCAGCCTCTGCCATCAAAAGTGGTCGATTCAATGCACCGACATTACAGCCGACCAGTCCGCTTCAACCTCTTCAATGTCCCCAAGCTCGTCACCAAGAATCCGAAATAACCGCTTTGTCTATGAATCAGAACCTGAACGAGGAGCGCACCTCTGAGGAGGCAGTTCCGAGCTCTCTATGTACTCCATCTTTACCGACAGATCTTCCACTGGTACAGTGGTACGTTGAACATCGCCGAGCAAAGCATCACATCACATTCCCAAGTACAGCAACACAGGAGCTTGTGGATGTGACACTCAGCTTAAGACCTCAGTTCGTGAGGATGGGGACGTCTACGACGCCTAAAAGACAAGATAAAGACGAGTGCGCCAAGAAGGAAGTCTCTGGTCCCGATTTCAGTGACGGCACGGACAACAATTCGCAGCAACGTCAGTCAAAGTCCACGTCACTGCAAAGGCGGAAGAGCCAGGGCCGGGAAATATGTCGCCCTCGTTATGAACCTTCATCAGAATCATCCTCTAGCAGCGACGAAGCGCCACGCAAATCTCACCATCGAGTAGCAAAGCACGAACTCCCAGAGACGACATATCTCGCTAGCATGCCGACGGTCGAAAGCCCACCAAGAACAACAACCACGACGACGACTACGACGAGCATGAGAAGAAAGAGAAAAGGCGGGGGCGACATTCCCGTCGATCGAAGCATTATCAAGATGAAGAGACTGAGTTGGAAGAGTTGGAGAAGGAGTTTACTAGACCCAAGAGTTCGCGTCATGAGCGACATCGAGGACGAAAGAGGGGTCAAGAGGATAAGGGCAAAGGCGTTGCTTATGATAAACAGAAGCACAGCAGCCAGACCAAGAATTGAGATTTTCACGAGAAGTGAGAACGGGTGATACATGGCAGGTGTAGTCCTGTGCGGTTTAGTGAACCTGTTTGGAGATAAAGATTTAGATTAGGGATGTTTGGCGTTATCTCATGTTGTTATTTTTAACTCGCCAGGTCAACTGGCTCTTAGGTGGCATGATTTTGAAACCTCAACAACACATATTCAAATCGTAAAGAAGATCCCAAAATGACTCCCTACATATTCTAGAAGTAAGATAACACATGAGATCATAGATACTCAACCATTAAAACTCATCTCCCAAGGGGTTTACTGCATCTGGCTCCCAGTTGTCCCAGTTCTTTTCATGTCAGTGTGATTTATATCAAGCGACAGGCTGAGAGGCAACTTACCTTCAAGATAGCCAAAGTTCTTTCAGCAACTTCCGCTCCACCAAGCAGCTCAGTGGCATCTTCTTTCACAATCTCTCAACTAGGTTCAAGATAGGGATACGCCAGAATGCGGTGGTATCTGGAGTAATGTCGTCATTGGTTGTGGTATTATCAAGCCCTCTCATTTTGACGATGTGAAGCCATTATAAAATACCGGACCACTGGAGAACAGATCCCCTAACAGCCAATGACTGTTCTTGCGGCAAGCTGAAGAAGAAATGAATGGTGCCAGGCGGAAAGTATACCGTCTGGCCACGCTTCAGTATGAGATATCGAGCCCTGCCTCCGTGGTAGGACTGGTCTTTCCTCCATGCGGTCCAGTCAAAATGTTTGCTGTGGACTATATAGCCAGAACCGATATGTCCCTCCTGAACTGTGATCCAAGTGCCCATGTCATTTCTGTCTGTATAAGGGTCGGTGCTATGACCACCTTCGGACATTTCAGCGATACATTGCCACTGTTGCATGTTTTATATAGAAGCCGCCTCTCGCTTAGCTGAGCTACGAGCTAAGATATATTTACGGACCCGTTGGATCAATTGGCAGTTTGGCCCAGTGAGGAACTTTTGGAGGACCGAGGCTGAGAGAGGGTTGACTAAGTTGATAACCTTCCAAGGATCATTAGTCGGAATATGTAGATGAAGCAAAATATTTGTTGTAGACTCTCCAGTAGTAATAAAGACATGCCTTCTTTATTTAGATGGGTTTGATGCTTTAATGAGCAGTACAGTCTTTTATGTAGTGCTTTGGAGTGTAATCCCTCACCTGTCAAAAAGTCTATCATGTTGGGTTTGACATGAGGAAACATAACCAGCTGGTCGTAGACACCTATTCCGAATTACTCTATGGACATAGCTTTACATATACGGCCCTTATAGAATGAAAGAGTCAGACCGGTCCAGGTTGCCGAACTACACCACATATCAGAAGCTTGGAAATGACTGTCGCTACTGAAGCTGTATGATTGCATTGTGGTTTGTTTCACTATGGACATTCCTAAGACAGGCCTTTCTGCGCCATATCGAACCGGGCATCTGTCATAGAGTGCAACAATCATACCAGGCTAGTGTGTCTGTTAGATATGAACAAGATCATCGCGAAGGAGCGTGCGGCTCAAATATGTATGTGGCATTTAAGTCTTGAAAGCGGGCGGTCCTGACCTCACTATATCACCTGGACCTATAGAGGTGGCTGAATACGAAGGATATTACTTACAGAAACACGAAGGGGGATATCCAGTTGAGTAGCGCGTCAACCGCGGTAGCTTCTACTTCAAGTCGGATTGAATACAGATTGACGGTGTACTGGGCCGAGAAAAACTCAAAGGTAGATAGACAAATCGGCAGGCAGGTAGATCGTGAAAGCTTCAAGTGCTGGATGCACTGGCTCAATCATCAGTCACCTACCATGCGCGTAGCCAGTAGTCAGTATAGGGTGGTGCAGCTGATGGAAAATGAGACACTGACGTGATCAGTCCGGGATGTCGGTCATCAACTCAAGGTTGGTCCCGGAATAAGACTTCCATTGTTAATCGACATGGTGTTCTCGTAGTGGCCTGTCTTGAGAATGGCCTTCTGGTGATACCATTGCCAATGGGTGTAGGTCTTTTTCCCTCTTAAGATAGCATAAACTGGTCAATGTACGGTCACCTTCCTCCGTACCGAGATAATAAAGACAGCGCTCACCATTCCAAGACTCAATGTCCGAGTATCCGCCTTAATTAGGGCCCGAAAGCTCGGCCGCGGCCTGTCCAGGGCTCAGAGCCGCCGACCAGGCGACACTATCCACGACCCAAAAGTCACGACAGCCCCGGCTGAGCTCCAGTCTTGTATGAACATGCTCCTTCGACTGGTGACAGATTACACTAACAGAGTACTGGAACGAGATAAGGTACCGAAGGGGTCAACCGGTATTATCCAGCCCTGGCTCTACCTCACCGAAGAAGCTAGGTGGGCCTGGTTTGTACATTTCGTGGATGGTTACGGGTGGTTGCCAGTTTTCGTTGGTAGGGCAGACCATTGGAATCTGAAAATTACCGACGTAATCGCGCTTGAGCCAAACCTCGAAAAGGTCAAATACAGGCGTGTTCTTTTCAACTCAGAAATCAACAAGTTCCAACGTGGGGAGAATGATTTGGGCTGCTTCGCGAAAGGTACAAGCGCCAGAGCAACAAGTGACCTCCTCCCCAAGCCGAACCAGGCTCTATGGAACGTGGGGGTCAGCTCACACGGCAGCCATAAGATCGAAGCTTACACTGTCCCACACACGTCAGGGAGAAGGTTGGGTCGTGCACACACGCGTACTGCACGCGTGTGGATAAGAGCTGCAATTGAAGACCTTGCGCGAAAAAAGCAAATAATGAGTGGATATGCGCCGTGGCATGTCGCAGCGCTCGTACTCGCACAGAGGTGATGCGAATACGAGATACACAAAAAGCAATTCTGGCTGTTTTTGAATCGCAGAACATGACCACATCCTCCGCAACCGCCAGTGAGGTAAGTGTTTTGGGCGAATCTGTCGATGTGTGGCTTGCGCGCATGTAGCTAGTTGAATCAAGTTGTTTTATGTTACTACTTGACTGGACTTGTTGCTATAAGAGATAGGCAAAAGGTATATTATGAATGTGATAGATGTTTAAATGCCGAGTTTCGGAGTGTTTGTTTATACATGCAATACAGAACCGACATGATGTAAAGCTTAACTCTGGAGTATTGTCTGGACAATACTACGGATACTATGAACTTAAGTCTTGGAATAACCAGGATACGAACCTAAATTCACCAGAGGTTCAGATCACTTAAAGTGAGCCTCAATGTAGTGGCATACGTCTCTCTTGTACGTAGTATTTATATTGACCCTGGGGAGAGACTCTAGGCGCTGCGGCGCTGAGGTGCGCAGCGGTTAAGATTGTTCAGCTAATCTTAAGATAAGATAACCGATAATCTTAAGATGAGATAGGATAAGATAAGATTACTGATAATCTTAAGATAACTTACAGCGTATCAGCCCTGCAATACCCTATAGCTTGTAACGTATGTAGCACAACAGTATGCACTACTTAAATATCTAGCACAACAAGAGTGAAGCTATTGTAAGTTGGGATATGGCCCGCGACGAGTAGTGCTGTTAAATGTGCGCGGCATTTGTCTTCAGTAGCGATCACTATAGTAGTGAGTGTTGCATACTGAATGAGAGGAATTCAGTATGTCGCTTGGGAGTGAATGCAAAATCTAATGGCACCTCAAATATTTCACACAAACTAGCTAGCTAAATGAAAAGCTAGCCCAATATACCTTTCCTCCCCATCCTTAAATCCGCGACCAGATCTCCGCCTGCTTCTTGTTAAAGGCCAGCATGTCCTCCATGCGGTCCTGGTACTCCAGCGCCATCCTCTCCAGCTTCTGCACGTTGTCGTCTTGGGGTAACAATCTGACCCAGTCGTGCACCCGCTCATTTTGATGTCCTGCACTTGGATTGTCCTGGGCTGGCGTAGGCGTACGTTCTGTTACATCGCGTCTTGGGACACCGCCTGTCGTAAAGCGAGGAGGTGTTTTGCTCGCCAGAGAGGACCTGCATTAGTGTTAGCTTCTGGATACTAACTCGTCTGGGGTGAGGGGTTCGGACCTGGCCCATCTTGAGTCTTGGAGGCCCTGCGTCAAAATCGAGGACGCCTCCCTTTCCTTCTGCTTTTGCCTGTGCGCCAACCATCGGCCAACATGCTCATCACTGTCGAAATGCAGCATCTTGTTCTCAGTCCATCTACGACTGCCTTCATCCCAAACCAGCAGCCCGTGGTCCCCCGCCAGTCGACACTGGTACTTGACCAACTTCTTGAAGGTAGTAGTCATGATATCCATGTAGTCCTTGCCAGCGCCTGCGTGCTTGAGGTTGCAGTCTTGCGCCAGGCCCCAGAATTCTTGCTGGCTACCAGTGATGACTTTTGCCAGGCTTGTAATGTCTCGGCTGTGTGTGCTGGCGCTGGAAAGAGAGGCCTGGCAAAGTAGGGCGTTGATGACCTTGCCGAGGATTGTATCGCAAAAAACAACCTGCGGATACCGGCCCGGTTTGAGAAGAGACTTTTTGGCGACATAGTCTGCAAGAGGGACGTTGCAAATCCTGTCCAGAGTATTACTGACACACATATTGACGTAGTTGGAAAGTGTGCCAGGGCTCAGATTGCTTGACCAAACTGTAAAGAAGAAGGAAGAGGGGTCATACCTATTCTAATCATGGGTCTTCTCATCAGCCCATACCCACCTGTATCTTGATGAGCAGTCCATGTGAATTATTTCGCTTGGCTCCTTGCCCATTATTGGATCTGCAGTTAATACGCAACCTTTTGGTTGGTAATGACAAAGGGTTCCACAGACGAACCACAGCAAACTGAAAGAAATAAACCTACGGGCCCATAAAATCATGCAAGCCATGACAGAAGGCCCTTTGTACGTACAGAGAGTAAGGCGAACGCCCAACAAGACAAGGAGTAGCTTTGTGCTGCTTTACTGAACTCTTTCTGCGCTATGGTTCGTAGGACAAAGGGTACGTCATATGCTGGAAGCGTGCAGCTCGTTCGCGTTTTTGACATGAAAGACCCCATGCGACATGTGACAGAGTGCACATATGGGCAACCAAAGGAGACAAGAGAACTGAAATGATAAAACAATCAACTTGGAAATAAGACATAAGCCGAAATGATGTGAATGACAATCTGCAATGACGCGTGTTAAGCAGAACCTTTCATAGGATTGAAGAAACCAGCAGGGTCCCACTTAGTAGGACCAGGGCGACAATGGCGTCTTTCACCTTTGATATAGGACACTAGACTTAGACACTGTGAATAGAGGCAATGGAGATCAGGTCATGTGCATGTTCGGGAGGGCATCCCACATCCAGAGCAAACTTGTATCCTTCAACAACTCGTCGCAGCTCCCCAACTCACGATTGCTTCAGGTATCAGTGCGAAATCTTCAGCTGTGTAGCTCTTTCCGCGGATGCTCTACAAGGCAGATCTTAGGGGTATCCTCAGCTTTGGGGTTCTCACGTTGTGCTGTTCTGGGTTTTGCGACTTGAGGTTGAGCCTCGTTGGTGGATTCCTCGTTGGAGGGTAATCCATAATTCCTCGTTGGAGGATTGCTCATTCGAGAGTATTCACTATTCCTCGTTGGAGGATTCCTTATTTGAGGGTAAGCAATAATTCCTCGCTGGAGGATCCGTAACTGGTTGCTTCACATTTGCCTCAGTCCTGAGGCCCACTCCAGTTCATGGAGCAATACCCAGCATATGGGTTGTAAACAAGCTCTGTCAAGAGTAAAACCCAGCATCTGGGCCATCAGCTCCATTAGGAACAAAGCCCAGCTTTTGGGACAAAACCCAGTGCCAAGTCTTGTGGTGAGCCACTACGCTTTGGTACTGAGCTGATACTCTTGCAAATGTTAACTCGGGCTACTATTTGGCCCATTATGGCCTTTAGCTTAGGAAGAGCGTGTGAGTCTTGGGCATTATCTGGTTTGGGTGGCTCAAGGGAGCTTGTATCCGGGCGGGATTAAGACAAACCATCCATTGCCAAGTTTAGCCGAGGTTCTTCCGTTCGCACTGTTATCTCGCACAGTTCTCTTTGTTTGTTCAAGCCCCTCCATTCATAATAATAATAATAGTAGACCGGCTCTTTGACTCACTCTTTTCCCTTTTCTCTACCTCCTGTCGTTAACAAACTCGTTTAATGCTCTCGAGTCTCATCCATCCCCCACAATGTCTTGCCCATCTCCGTCGAGGTACGCCACCTCTCCCTCGTGCTACCGCCTTGTTCTTCCGCTTGTACTCTCGCCCCAAACCGCGACTGAGCCGGTTCTGTTACAAATATGCATCCACTCCAACTGGATACCTCCCCTCGACCGCGCAATCCACCTCGCGCGTGACTCGGCCGTCTTAAGTCCGCCCGATATCCACGATCCGCCAGATGTCGAGATTGCCTACCCGGTAACAAACGTCTGGAGATATTATCAAGATGGGTCGCAAGATGAATACGGTGTTGATGAGCCCGCAGACGACGAGGACGATGACGATGACACGAGGAGCATATGGCTGGAGTTCCCAGAGTCAAACATTCTACCAAGGCGTCGTTTCTCGTGGACATACATACTCGCTGTACTCGGCATCGCATATGTTATTTGTGCTTTGAAAGGCTATGTCAGCCATCCAGCCTGGGTAATCATACAAACAACAGCCTCATCCCCAGAACCGTCCATCTGGCAACCCATCGATATGATCTACAACACCTACGAGGACGCATTAATGCCGCTGTTCACGCACTGGCAGCACCCAAGCCTGCGAACACCCCTTCGCCACCATGTCCTCCATGCCGCCCTGCTCAAAGAGCTTCAGAACATCCAGCTCGGCCTGGCATCTTGGCGAGGTACAGCCAGTATCCCGGGGCCCGACCCATCGCTAGTCACCGACGCGGGGCATCTTGTGGATGAGCTTAAAGCCCTGCAGAGGGACTTTGATGTATTGTTCGACGACGGACATGAGTGTCTGGGTGCATCTCTGGCAAACGGGTTGTTATATATAATAGACCGCGAAAACAGCACCGATATCATCCGCATTATGGATAGATTCTGGACAAGCGCAGAATTCAAACATGGCGCTGTCTTGCAGGATCTCAACAGATTATACCACAGACTCAACGGTCTCGACGTATCGACTTTTCTCCAAGACCTCAAGTCCGCTCTTTCACCTTATCAGGGGAGATGGACATATCAGGATTGGATAACAACAACTCTCGACGCCGCCAACTTTATCCGCAAGAGGGTTCTTCCAACAACCGAACCTACGGCTATGGTGGTATCAAACGCGATAAAACGTATTTCGGCGCTCAACTCGAGCATCACATCCAACAAGCAGTTCTGGAGCAACAGGATGCTTGACGGAGCGGATCGAAGCGTTGTATGCGAGTTTATGAGCAGCGAGCCTAGGTGGTGGACCAGCTGGGTCATGGGTGTCACGAGCCATCACAGGTGGGTAGGGCATGTAAGTAACGAGAGCTTCCACGCACTGAGGGAGACGGCTCGGAGGGGCAATCTGGCCAGAGTCTTGGTGAGTCTGGCGCGCTTTGAGGAGGAGGAGAAAGGTTTGATTGGGAGGGAGAGGTTTAGAGAGTAGTAGTTAGACAGGAGGAGATAAATTCATATTTGTACTATTTCTGCATAAACGCCATCACCTGTCATCTAAAGTTCACCCCCCACTTGCGTTCCCGTCTGTTTCAAAAGCTCAGCCCTTCGCATCTTCAACGCCCACAAAAGCCCTCTCCTGCGCACAAGCCACTGCAACGCCCTCTCCTCCTCGTCAAGCCCGACCAGGATCTCCTGCTGCGTCTCCTCGAGCGTCGTTGGAAGGACACACGAGCCCTGCCCGATCTCTGCAAACCTGGGAAGGACGGGGAGAGTCGGCAGGCGCGGAAGAGACGTCGCGCTGGCAGCAATGTTTTGGTTCGATGCTACCTCGGTCCCTTCGGCGCTGTAGATATCTGGCCGTTTACGCATGTGCTGTGCCATCTTCTCCCTGGTGTTGGTGTCGAGACGGGACATGTTTCCGCGTTTGGCAAAGTCTTGTACCCCAGGAAGACGGAGTAAAGACGCGACACTGGTTCTGGAGATGGTGCTCTCGGCGTCTGGAGCACGACGGTCTAGTCTGAGTCTGCTCAAGCGTAGATCAAGAGCGGCAACGCCAGCGCCAATACTGTAGCCGTAGCCGTCGCCGTAGCCGTTGGCCCCAGGGCGTTCCCCAACCTGACTTCCACCAGCGACGGGCGACAGGATAGAACTCTCCTCGTCACGCCCGAGCATCTTCCCCAGTGTATTGACCACGGTTATATCCCTGCCATCCAAGGGGCTCTCGTCCGTTCCAGCGGCGGCCCTCCATTCCAGGAGCTGTCTCTCGTATATCTTCAACAACTCCACATCATCCTTTGAGAGGTCCTGACGCGCCAGACAGATTTGCTCGGCAAAGTCTCCCAGCCTTTCAAGTGGAGAATCGGCGTGCGCGGCTGCGAAGAGGAGGATCTCGACGTCGTCTTTCAGCAGGCCTTGGTCGACGGAGCCGCGGGAGAAGTCGGCGACGATACGCGACGCGTTGAGGATTTGTACGATTTCGGTGTCGGTGAGGGGGATATTGTCCTCTTTGTGAAGAAGTCTCGTGGCGCTTCTGACAATACGGAGGTCGTCTATTATAACAGATACCTCGATGGGAGGAAGGGGATTGAGGAGACTGATTGATGATGATAGATGTATTGAGTCGTAGATTGTTGGTGTTGGTGTTGTTATTGGTGCTATCGAGTGGGATATTGGTCTGTTAACAACCTGTACTCAATTGGGAGGGGATTTCTGGTGTGACGTGAGTGAGATTACTGGTGTAACACATGCGGTCATGGACCTTTGTCTTGTTGCCAAAGGATTATAATGCGACCACAGTCTTGATGTTTGCAAACATTTGTCAAATGATGGATAATGCATCTGCAAATGGAAAAAAGGCCATTCCATAACCACAAGACAAAGGTCGTTGTTGACAAAGATAAAGGGACTTGTTAAAGTGGTTTTGTATGAAAACCACTTTAGTTGCAGAAAACCACTTAAAATCCTGGTTGTTCCACTTAAAGTTCACAGCACTCAAAGACAAGGTTCTGCAGCGCAGTGATACCTGCCTGGCTGCAATGCAGTTTGCGCAGAGAAGCAAGAAGTTAACAACAAGGTGAAGCAGTAGAGGATGCCAATAGGGAGGGGTCTTTGTACAGGTATTAGGCAGGAAACAGGACGAAGAAGAGCAGACGTTGAATTTGGCTCTCTTTCCCTCTATGTGTCGCTGTTATATAACGTCGTTCACGGTATTACTCCCACTACGTACGCTCGAGAGGCTATATTCAAGCTTGAGCTCACCTCTTCACTACATGTGTAAATCTCGACCACCTCTACACAACCATCTTTCTCACACTGCCCATCATGTGCATCACCAACACCCCAGACAAGATCTGCGAGCAACTTGTCTCAGCGCTCTATAACGGGAGAAAGATGACATGGGGCACGCAGTGTAAGCGGATTGTCCAACGACACATCTTGCTGCACCGCCTAAACCACCAAACCGCAACCGCACACCTAGACCGCCTCCTGGCGGCAATGAACATCTCGCAGCAGGGCAGAGCGATTAAAGATATAATGCGCCCCAAGGTCGTCAGCCTCCTCTCGCACACTATCAAGAAGATGGAAGATGGCGGTCTTATGTGGCTGCAGGATGGGGAGTGGAGGTGGAGGCATGACGCACATGTCTTTATGACGCGGACGGCGGGTGGAAGGACTACAGCGAGGAGGCTGGGAGACGACTTGGGAACACCACAGACGCAGTGGCTCGAGGCGGTAGAGGAGCAGCAGGAAGGCGACGATCTCCTCCAGTTCCAGTTCCAGCTCCAGCCTCTGGCAACGTGGACACCAGCGGAGTGGCTGGCATTGGCCGCGACGTCATGGCCGGTGGAAATGTGCGGCTGAGGCAGACCATCAACGTATGGAACAGCTCCAAGGCGCGAAAGTCCAGGGCCAGAAGTGTTGAGGTAGGAGATACAGAGTCGGACGAGAGCGACTCTGGTGAAGAAGAGGAAGAGGGAGAGGGAGAGGGTTCTGAGCCTGGGAGTGGCCGTGAGATGCATGATGCTCCGCCAGCTTTCACCTTACCACCACTCCCCTGCCTACCCCTCGTGCCCACTCTGTGCCTGCCCGCGCCGCAATGGCCCGGGAAATTCATCTTCCTCCATCCACGGTCATGTCAAGCATAGCTCCACCGCCCCCGCCAGCGCCAAGACCATCCCCCCAAGCATCCTCAGGTATCCTCTCCTCGGAGAACCTTGCCCGGCTATCAACTCCAACTCCAACCCCAACCTCAAGCACAATCTCTTCTCGCACTCCACCCCCGCCAACCACCATCAACCCGTCAGACTCGATATCCAACACAGGACACCCCCCTCCACCAGCCGCCGTGTCCTTCCTCGCTAGCATTTCTGAGTACTCCGCCGACGAGCTATGGGAGAGCATGGACAGCCTCTCGGATGCCGTCATCGGCAAGTGGACCTTTGCTTAGACGGTTGAAGGGACGGGGCGGGATCAGTGGCTGGTGGATGATGAGCGGGTTGAGCAGAAGAAGCTTTATGATATGCTTATCGTGGTGGCGAGCGTTCTCGATGAGAGACTTGGACTTGGATAGGGATCTTTGGTTTTTGAGATTTTAATAGTATGGGAATATAGTTGGTAATTTTATGATTCACTTGCTCTGGACAGGCTGTAGGAAATCAATACTCCCCTGTTTACTTGCCAGACCAGCTGAGCATGTCTGTACGATGGAATATGTAAAAAGCAGAGATAGAACCTTGACAGAACAACTAGCTCTGACGGTGCAGTTCATTGCATCTCTTATATTATATACCCTAAGAACTACTTTGCTTTTACACAGTCGCCATTCAGCGTTTCCCGTCCAACTCCTGCCTCAACCTCTGCAAATTTCTCTCTGTCATAATGCCCCTTGTCTTGCTCTCCCCCTTCTCCGCCACCGTCAGCCTCTCCAAAGCATGACTCAACTGTTCATCCCTCTCTTTGATCTCGAGGTCTTTGTCAGCAGCCATGATCTCTGCCTCGCAACACCTCCTCGCCGCCCTCTCCAACTTCTGGTGCAGCGCCGCCTTGTCCTGAAGAAGCGCCCTTACTTCTGCGCGCAGCTTCTGCTGCCCTTTGCGCAGGGTCGCGACTTGTTCCTCAAAAGCGGCGACTTGGGCCGGCGGTGAAGTCAGCGCCATGGCGTCGTGGAGGAGCTTGTTCTCGGCGTGGGCTTTCTCAAGAGCTGCGGTCTTCTCCTCGTTGTCCTGATGGACTTGGTTGTTCTCCGCCTCGAGATCCTCCACGCGAGACCTAAGGACGTTGGTGGTGGCCCAAGATACTGACTTTCTGCGAGGCCGCGCTGGCCTCTGCCACTCAGCAGGGGACTCCTTGAGATTCAACGGCGCAGGAAGTAGATCCGACGTCGTATCCTCCTCCCCATCATCATCCCCTTCCTCGACGATAGCCTGGCCGAGGTTTATTAGCTGAGCTCTGTTCTTCCACGCCCGAATAGTGCTACTGAGCGAGTTTGCTGTGCTAACCTATCTTGGCTCCCATTCTGATTTATCCTTGAGTTTGAACTGATTGAAGTCTAGTTTAATTACTGAAGCCATGCCGAGGATTTCTTGAGTAACAAACTTGGCTGTATACTGAAGAGGCTGAGAAAGGGAGGCCGAGTACGTGTTAAGACGCTGGAATTGACGAGCTTTCAGTCGGACGTTAGCTACAGGAGATAGTTTGGGTGCTGTGGGCTTGGGAGTTATTTTGGCGATTTGTCTTGGTTACTCCCGGTGATGGGAATGGTTAAGAAGAGGGGTTGATGAATATATTGCTTTGGTCTGGTATAGATGGTCTGAGTGATGAATTTACTGCCTTGCTTTTGTATAAGAGAGGTTCGGTGTTGGGCGGAATCTGTTGATTAGAAATTATAGCCGTTGTACCATCTTATCTATACAATCAACCGATATATTTATCTGTATCTGCCTTGAAAAACGGATAAATGCCGCCAGAATAAAGCAGAAGTCACTTTAGGTAGCACTGGGCCTTGTTAATGCTCTTGGCTAGGACGACTTTGTTTGTGCCTTTTTCTTTCTTCTTATCAGTGAACTACAGTTTAAGATGTGAGTGTAATAAAGAGCATGATGGTAGGCTCTACTATGAATTAGAGATAGATGCCAGGCTGTAAAGCTTTGTGTTAGATTTTAGTGCGAACTTCCATCGAATTGCAATCTAGGTATAATCTTTGTTGTGTGTGAAAGAACCATGTACTTATCTAATCGCGTCTTTTAAAGCTTATTAGGCAACAATACTATCATTTTACCAGAATATAGCGGCGGTAACAATCTAATTAACAAAGACCTATAGAATTATACTATATCCTTATAGTTAAAACTTAATTTCCAATCTGTCCTTACTCTTACCCTCTTTACGATTCTTATTATTATTGTCAGAACTATTTGTATTGACAATTGATATTATCCCTTAATATGTGTCCCTTTAACTCTCTATCGCAGATTTGCTGCATTCCCTTATAGATGTATATAACTAAAGAGAAAGCCGGTATTAAACTAACCATCTTCTTCTGCAATGACATTTAGGGGTCTATTATCTACGCACTACTAGAACGTATCGTGCAGAACCTAACCACTCCGTCTCCTGCCATGGATATCGTGTCTAATAAGACCCTGGTTAAAGTCCTGCTTCGCTACTGCAGTCTAGACTTTACGCATTGAGAGAGGGACTTTGTAAGACTTGTCATCCTGGCCTGGAAATGCATGATAAAGTACGTCTTTCGCAGAATGGTGGACTTTGGCATTATAAGACACCATGCTAGGGCGTAGACTAAGGACGATAAGTATGTATTTCCTAGTAATAAAGCGGCTAGGAAGTGGTTTAGCGAGGCTTTAGCTAGCTTGAAAGAATAGAAAAGACTATATCTTAGGGATCTTAATAACGATAACCAGTTGCCAGATATTAGAGGGTTGCGTTTAACGGATAAGGATGTTACGGTGATTAAGGTATATAAGGGTGTAAGTTTATTGTAGGTTAATCAAGAGCTAACGTATAAGGAATAGAAACAGATGGCCGGGAAATGGACCCCTAAGCGGTTGCAGTTGCAGGGCGCTACGAGGGCTAAGGTTGTAAAGAAGCGTTCAATGTTGTAAGGGGTATGAGATTGCTTAGATAGAGGGAGCTGGATAGATAAATGATGTTATGTGAATGCTACGTAAAATTCATGGCTTTTGCATAAAATGTTTTACTACTAAATGGATATTAAGATTGGTTTTGTTTGAGCTGTATTTGGGATTATATGGAAGATAAATAGAAACAATCTTATTAAGGAAAATGATAATAGCCTCTCCTAACGTAGAACTCCTAAGATTAAACCGAATAGGGCGTGATATGTCACCCTGTTATTCCTTTCTCTTCTGCTTACTCGGCTTGAAGAAATCCTTATAAATATCCTTTACCTTTATATTCGGCTGCTAGGTAGGCTGATGGCGGACTTTCCTTAGGTAATAGGCTCTGGCCTCGGTATTAATGAGGGCGCTGCCGACTAGATTCTATATGTCTACCTCGGCCCGTGACTTGTTGTACGTGTAGTTGCTGTGGTCTATGTCGCGTATTACGTCGTGGTGTATGGCGGTCTTTTGGTGCACCTGTATTAGGATCTCGACCTGTAGCTCTGTGGAGTTTGTTGTGGGTATGAGAGCGAGCTGGGGCGGTATCTGGAGGAGGTGGAAGAGGTCGGGCGGGCTGCGTCGGTACGAGGGATTAACCTCGCTGAGGGATTGGTATGCGAGGCAGACGTGACGTTTGGGGTCGAGGATATATGTTAGCTATGATGAGGTGGCCAGCGGAAGGGATATATATTACTTACCGTCTTTTTGTCTGTTTAAATGGTCGGGTAATGACGAGACGTAGAGGTAGGAGATGGGAAAGAAGTAGAGAAATGAGGGTATCTACGAAAACATGTTTGTGATGGGCGGTTTACCTCAACGTGAGAGACTGAGTGAGTTGTAAGAGATAGAGAAGGATTAGGGGATAATATTTCTGTTCTGTTGTCTAGATTGACGCGTTGTGAGGCTATTTCTTTGTGCTACTATGTCACCTATGTGCTGAGGATTTATTGGCTGATCCCTGAGCTTTGACAGGACCTTACCGCCGCCCCGCTTGGACGGAGGTACCGACGTCAAGACGTAGCTAAACCGCTTTGTCTCTTTCACCAAGATCCATGCTATGCTATAATACATCTAGTTTCAGGCAGCTACAACAGGGCTGATAGATTGCCTTTGATACCGCCTATTAACTACATCGCTAAATTGCTCATGGCTTCTTATCAGTACCTCCCTTATGACGATCAATTAGGGTTCTTTGTCTGTAATTCACCTACTGTCTGTCGCTGCCAAGGGTCTCCTCAAGCTGATGATGTGTTAAAAGCTTCGCTGGTGGGTACCCTTTTTCTTTCTGCTCCCTGTCCCTTCCTTATTCCTTCTCCAAGTCTATGTGTGCTGATCCAACATGTCTGATGCCAATTCCACCAGCGAGCACATCGCGCGGTTCCACCGCAGAGAACAGCGAAGACGCATCCGACGCGACAGAGCGTCAGCCACAAGCTCGTTGACATCCAGCATCGCAGGATCGGAATATGGCGCGGCATCTTCTGTCACAAGTCGCGAAACAGGCGATCGTAACGGGCGAAGAAGTAATGTCGTTCTCACGGGCACATCGCACGAGATGGATACGACAGACGTGTCTGGGACTGCAAGATCTTCGGACGCTCAGAGTGCGGAAGATCCTATAAAACCTCTCGGCAAAAGGAGCTTTGAAGAGGCAACCACACCTACGCCAGAACGTACCCAAGAACCAGCCCTGGGGGTCGTGGTGTCGCCGGCTGGTAGGCACTCATACGCTATCGCCCAGCTGCCGTTTGCAGTGTCTTTTGCTAGACAGGTCTAGGCCATGACAGTTGAAGCCCTGATACTCCCAGCCGAAGCTATTATCTTCTTGCGACGTGCCTTTTCTCCGGGAGTCATCATGTGGATTATCCCCTTAGTAGCAGTGTCATTTCTCATAAGCTGGGCACTCAACTTCCTGTGCAACGGTACACTCGCCTCTGCACTCGTCAAAGCCTTGATCCCCACGTCGATCCACAAGCCCTTGTGTGGCTTGCCCAGTCAGCCAGCGTATTACTTTCCCCAAGGCATTCTCAGGTCTGATAAGCTGGACGACAAGCCTGGTTTCCTTGTAGGACCGTCGCAATGGGTAGCTCTTGGTAACCAGGTGAGCTATATCTATCACAGGCTCGGAGACTCGCACGGACAGGCTCTGATCATAGATCAGATCCAGTTAGGCGCATATATCAACGCGACCAACGATGCCGCATCTCAGCACGAGATATTTGTGACTCACCAACAAGAGCTATGGCAGAAGGTAGACCAGTACATCACAAAATTTCCAAAACAGACACCCAAGCCTGGCTTTTGGGATGGGGTCCTAGGACGACCAAACTCAGCCCTCAATCAAAAAGCCAGAAGCACAACCTCGGAGCTTCTGGAAATCCTGGTCATTGCAGACGATACGCTTGAGCAGCTTCAAACCAACATGTCATATCAGGACGTCAAAAGCAAGATCCTTACACCAGAGATCAAGAACTTCCGCGAGAGCCTAGAGACGTATCTAGCTCTCAGCGGCGATTCTGATAAGGATAAGATTACAGCGGGCATCAGATTGTGGGAGAACAACCGCGACAGGATCCTGGAGTCGACAAGGAAGCGGATCGATAGATTTGACCAAGAGAGGCAGTGGTTGAAGATGAATATGCAGTCTATTGCGGGTCTCAAATATAGGCTAGATGAGGGGAGGGGGAGTCAAGGGAAGGTCGATTGGGAGGATGAGATGGATAGAATATTGCCTTAGTGTCTGGTAATTGCAAACACGTGGAGGTCCAAAGTGAAAGAGGCTTTTAGGGGGAATTAGTATAAAGAGTAATGTTTATAATCGTCATGAAGCAAATCCTTTATGTTTCACAATTCTAAGCTTTTACTGCATGACAAAAGCCGAGGTGATGTAACTGAGAGTCAACCTGCTTCATATTGACAATCATAGACTCCCACCGAGAGCACCGTACAGATGACGCATGTATTGAACATCCTACCAAGCACTTATCATCACCAGGAAATTATTGATCTAGGAGAGAAATGTCTCGGCGGAATCAGATCTCTATGAAGTGACTATTGTAAGATAACATTTTCTTTCAGGTCGGTGCGGATGTTCTCAAGGGTGACGTTCGTACGAGCCTTTGACTGAGACCAGTCCTCAATGGGTTAGGTAAACTTGCGTGGGAATGGTCGACAGAAGGAATGGCCGACGATTGACTGCCAGCGCGCGGTAAATAGCTCGAGGGTGAGCATGAGTAAGCCATATCCGTCGGCTTTACCAAGTTTTAGCCACAAAGCTGTGGTGAAGTTGATGAAGAGAAGGTCGGTTGGGACGGGTGATTGGTTGTGGGGTGATTCACACCACTTCCCCTCAAGTAAATGAAAATCAGTCTCGAATAATTGTACGAAGAGGAGACATTAGAGGCATATCAGGAGGTTCAAGTATGCCAGGCAGCTGAATTCAGCGAAGCCTTTTAGTCACGTATAACGGAGATGGGAGGAGAGGATTGACGTATTCTTTTTAATCAACGTGATATATAATCCTCATTGTAGACAAACGGGATAAGCTACCCTTACTCAGAGGTCATCATAAAATCCATCGTCAAGCTCTGTCGTACAACTGTTATCGTATGTGCCTTTGTCGGTTATGGGTTTCCGTCTTGTTAACACAGCCTTTTGGTTACACTATTAAAAGAATTTGTTGTGCGTATTATGGTCCGTCTCACCCGACACCAAAGGAAGATGAAGCTTCAAGGTTCATAAAAGCTAAAAGCTAAAAATCAAGACAAGTTTGCGTGCGCACGCGCGTTGATATCACACTTCAGTTTGACTGGTATGAATTAAACTCAGTACGGCAATACCGCTGCTAATAGAGATGAAGACAGAGCCATGAGAACTGAGACTCGAGATAATATAAGCAGTATGGCACATAAAGTTGTATTTATACATTCTTAGCACAACAACCACTAACCAAATCATGAATACTCATCATAAAGTATGTGTTGTCATATCATGTTCGTTTACGGTACTCAAGGCCAGCGAATGTATAACGACTGTTCTAGCATAGCGTCTACATCCCTTCTTTCATAATATTATAGGCGCATCACTAAAAGAGGTTTCTGGTTCCGCGCTGTTATGCAATAATGGAATTATTCTATTCGGACTATCTCGCATTGTTTATAAAGATTTCTCTGGTGGGTAGATAAGAAAACATTAATTTACTGATGACTGGATGCTACTGAGCAGGCACGGGCCACGAACACAGTCGACTGGGGTTGTGGTCCGTGCACAACTCGGCTTGAGACAAAGAAGCTCAATTAGTCCGATAAGAGGTATACTTGATCTATAAGTAGATAGCTAAATGCAGTTCCGTCATTAAGTTGTTTGTTGTAATTCGAGAAGTTATTCAAGAGTTTTTAAAAAGAAGGGTTTTACAGAGGCGACAAATGTATCATTTAGTCAAATGAGAACGGAAGCCCGTCGTTTGACGGGTTTCAGCATCAGGGTAAGCAGCGGCTCGTAGCTCAGCTCAGTCAAGACGATATCCCGGCTGTAAGGTGAGAACTGTGTCAGTCACCATCAAGAAGAAGTTTTCATTGTTGACAGTCTAGAGGTCGTGTGTGCATAGATCGGCGGCAGCCTCAGCAATAATAGACACCTTAGCAGCGACAAAATTCACCAAGGCTGCCATAGCAAACCCGAATGCGATGTGTTGTGTCGATAACAAGCTTTTTAAACCTTTAACTTTATCAAGCCCAGTCTTTCCAAATCTCCCAATAATATCAACAATAACCATTTTTAATAATACTAGGTCCTAATACCTTATTTGCGCTTATATCTTCTTGCTGTGTTATTTACTTCTCTGTACTATGCTGAGTTATACTTGAAGTGGGATATGTTTCTCAATTTGTTGTTTTAACGGACACTGCTCGGAGAGTTTAAGAAAAGCAACGTCTTTACGCTTGACCTTCAAGAAGAGTCGGCATTTATGGTAGTGTACTGGGAAAGTATCCTCTTCTTGTTACCCTGATAACCTCTCGGCTTATTTATTTCAGCAGTCGAACAGTTCTGGCGAGTTGTGTTCTACCGTCTGCTGCCCTGTGGAGTGGTCGCAGAGAGTTCTTGTTGACGTCGAACCAGCGTATAGCGTGGTAGACTTAGCTTCTGATTATTTCGTTTGGGATTCTCGTTTCATCGGTGGGAAGCAGGTATAGCTTTATAACCAGTCCTCTCTTGGTGCTTAAATGGCCATCGGTCCGTTCTGTAGCATTTATAATGCCCCCAGACTTAAGCGGCTATCTCGCAGTGATCTATAGGCTCTTGGTTCGCTGCTGCGACGACAGGCTCGCCAAAGATAAACTGTCCGGGGGTTAAAGGTTAAGCTATGGCTTGCTTAAATTATAAATGTTCTGGCTTACCTACGTATACAACGATCAAGTATTCTACCTGGGTTTCAAAGAGGCCAGTTTCCGTCCCAATCCACTAATTTAGGCAAACCTGAAAGTACCAAGCTTAGAGATCTAGGGTTACCAACACAAAGCCTCGCCACCCTACCTGTCTTGTTCGGTCTGTGTCACAAAGCAGATCTCTGATAGGGCCTTCCGCTACTGACCAATGGGGGTGCGCGTCTGACAACCACCGTCACAGTTTCGCTACAGCTTCTGGCGCTGTCGTGCACCTCAACATTTAAACGGTTCTCAAATGTCACCTTTCAAGATACCCACATCAATACACGCATCATTCAAGGTCTTGATCTTATATAACCCTCATTTTATTAACTATATACACATGGGTAATTTACTCTGTGTTATCGGTCAAGATGGAGAGAAGGGGAAACAGTCAGTTGTTACTGCATCATTCAAGGAATCTATATTATTCGAACTTGAAGAACTGACTTATTTGAGAAATGTTAAAGCGAAATCGGGCAGAGTCTGTTTCGAACTCAGTCAGTGTGTAGGAACTCTAAGGACAGGAAACAGGGGGACGTTCAATACATCTCCAAGCGAATTTTGCCGCCGAATTGCAGAAGCCGAAACTTTTATCTTGCAACTCTAGGTATCTAGTTCACCCTTGAGCCGCCCAAGGTCCTAGGCTGGTGTCAGCACACTTAATGGTTGAGTGGGACGCTCGTAGACCTTGTGATGGTCGCCTTTGACCTTTATCTGGTCAGTCAAGTGACCAAGAATGGGTTCGCGATGTCCCCAGAGAGAGCTCGGTCCGCAGTCAGTTTGAAATGAGACAACAGATATAAGGAAGTCAAGGTGGGTAACTTAATGCACACCCTTTAACTGTTACGGAGGTGAAAGAGTGGAAAAGTAACACAGGATGCAGGTCGCACGCCTCAAAATGCAGATGAGGGAACTGTATTGGATATTGGCTATAATGGGCTGACCGCTGCGTCTTCCATCACGCACTACATTAGTCTGGGGAGAGGCAGAAAGGCCATTTGGGTCTCTTCTTCCAGCGGGCTGAACTCGTGTAACACTGCAACCTGACAATATGCATCACCCCTCAGCATGAAGGTCAAAGTCTCAATTGAACAGCGGAATTAAGAAACCTTCTTTTTCTTTCATTCCTTCTTTCTGCTAACTTAATATCTATTCTTAAATGCAAGGGTCTTTAACCCCCTCATTTACATTCCCGTAGGTCGACTTCCTGGCGTACATAGCCTCTTTTTAACCCGAGCATAAGGAGAACCAGCTAATCGATACAGGGAGATTTATAGATCAAGTAAGATGTTTAGCTTGCTCTATAAGTTCTAGCAAGTATCAAATGTCGTACATACTGGCTTCGTCAAAACTGCATTGTAAAGCCACTATGGCTGTATTTGAATCAGCACACCGAGAACTCCTCCAAGACGATGGACAATGATGAGACTTTTATAATCTTGGCAGTCAATGTCGGGTTGGACCTTAGGCGGCTAGAGAGTCAACAAATAACGATCAGAGAAAAGGTTGGGCAGCCGTTTGTATACCCTTGTCAAGTTCATATTATTAGGGCAGTTTTTCAAATCTTAGAACCCTGAGCTGGGCTGTGTGATTGTCAACTGGAAAATGGGTCTGGCGCGGGAGATCCATGAAGAAAGGTCTTGTGGCTTGATAGCCACAAACCCACCTTTAAAAATGCCATCCTGAATCAGAAATCTCACGGTAATGATACTTCAGACTCTGGTGGAGCTGGTACCTTCGAAGATGTGCCTTTCTTCCCACCCACCAGTGCACCTACACCCCAACGTCTGAGCCTTGCAGACGCAAATAAGAGCGACAACTTTAGGTTCACCGAGGACGCGATTCAGCAGGTGATTTGTCAAAGCCTATGTGATTAACGGTCGATTCAGGAACAGCAATAGACTGATCGATCACTTTTCACCTCCCGAGTCAAGTAAAGCCAGTCAAACGCAACCGTCAATATCTTAACGACAGTGACATAAGCATATCTAAAGCAGTCTGGCCTTCTCAAACACCAAGTTAATGATTCAGTTTATGACCTTCTCCGCTAGGCACCTCAATATTGATCTCCTTGGTTAATTTAAGCGCCCTAGGAAATGATAGAAAAAGACAGACATGTCAGACTGGCCTGGGTGTGGATCTTCGATGACTGGGAAGGGATCGAAACCAAGACTGATCGAAGTCTCCCATCCGAACAGTATAATTTATTGCTATGTAGATGACCGTTCCAATAGCGTTTCTTTTATCACGATATAATGGGAAACCATCGAGAGGATAATACGGTAGCCTCAGTGCAACGGGATGCCGGTAT